CTCAGGACATTGTCATGGTGGTTGGTGTGATGATGGCACTTCACCAGGGTTTACTTCAGTCCATCAAGTCAGTAGTAATAGGTAAGTATAAATTTGGCAATCACAATAATTATTAATTAAAATTATAGGAACTCTAGAGCAGCAAGTGATGTGAGGGACTACTTTAAAAAGTACTTTAGTAGTAAAGAGGGAGAGGTGTACTGGCAGTACCATTATGTTAGGAGGACACATTAAACAAAACTTATCTTTAAGCAAAAAAACTGTTTGGTTATCATGAACACATTAACAAAAGTTATTTTTTGTTAGCAATTATTTCTTATCAATAGTCAATGTCTTGATTCAGTTAATTGTTATATGGTAAAGACATAAATGAAGTTAGGAAGTGATTGACATTAGTAGAACCTGGTGGAAATTCTACTTCAGTGAGAACATGCTGGACTTTTAACTTCGCAAATGCCTTTTGCTGAGGAGTGAATCGTCGCTTTGTTGCTGCTACTAGCTGTCCAAAATGTCCTTCCTCATCATTCACTAAAACCTTTGTCTTCTTTTATTGTAAAACATTAAGACTTATCACAAGTAACAAATGAATTTCATCAGCGCGTGTTCTTTTCAATTTTAGTATTGAGCTTGATAAATTTTCTGTGGATGTAGCAGGATCATCAGATTTTGAGCTGTCATCAAGGCTATCATTTAACACAGGCTCAGATGTTGTTAAACCGTTAAACAAAGTTTTTCAGTGATAAAATATAATAAAAGATAGACACATACCTTGATCTACTATTATCCGCATCACTGGGACTACAAGCATTATATTCATTGGTTTCCACATCAGTATCATTAACAAAGTTCCTGGATGTTCTATAGAACAAAACATTAACTAAATAAAGAACAGCTTTCTCTTACGTTCTATGCTTTATCGTATCAGATATGAAAGTCATTTGATTAAACAATGGCCAATATGACACATATACAGGGCCTTCTCCTGTTTTTTATTTCTTCACTTTTTTGATCTCTCTCACAAACTTATCTCTTAAACGCTTCCATTTCTTACTACAATCATCTACACTATATCCTTCACCAACATACAATGATAAAGGATACAATTTTAATTTGTAAAATCATAGACCCTTGGCTTATATTTTCTTGACACAATGACACTTATTACAAAATAGGCTTTACTTACCCTATCAGCAAATATCTTCCAGGCATTCTCCTTTGCCCTAATATCTTTGTATGCCTGAGTGGATAACTGCCAAAGACAAGGAAAGTCTCTCAGCTTCTATCAGTTTTTCATCGGCCATTTTAACAATTGTGGACAATGTGACCCAAGAAATCTGATTGGATGTATGCAGACAACTTTACGTTGGAATAGAATTTTTTCCTAATTAAAAACTACGAAACGCTACAACGCCCGCACCTACGCTATTCATTTACAATATGACATAAAACATTCGCTACATTCTGCATGACGCTCCGCTCGGCTAATGTCATATTGTAAATCCGCCTTAAGGTACTTCTGGATAAAATTTTAATATTTTTTTAATTGCTGCCATTTTATAGTAAAGAAAAAGTTGTACATCTTGTGCTATTTTTAAATTTTTACCATGCACTGTTTAGAAGTTATAGATCATTCAACTTTAAATATTAAAACAAATTCCTGCATAACTTTTCATACTTCATACGCTATCTTTGATCTTGTCATTTCTAGATACCTCTGTATATTATATAACTTGCAGGAAAAATTAATTGCAAGGTCGGGTTAAGTTATGATGTCATATTAGTCAAATCATTATTAAAAATGGCCACCAGTATGTATTTCATGACTATTGTTTATTTAGCTGTTTCATCTGGTGAATGCAGGCACTATGAGGTCTAAAGCTTAAAATTGTGGCATAATGAAGGCAAACACTCAAACAAGTTTGCATGCAGAAATGCTTTTGTGATACACTGATGTTTGAAAGTGAACAAAACTTTATGAGAGATTGCAGCCCATTTTGCAAAACTTGAAAACCTTTTGCCAGATGATGCAACATATGTGAATAGAAAATAATATTATAAACACAATGATATTACTAAAAATTAAAGTACTCTCATCATGTTCAAGAATTCTTTACTCAGTTTTCATCCATTTTACAAAGTTGAGTAAAGTTTATTGCATCTCACTATTGAGAAACATTTGAAAAAATTATATATTGTAGAAAAAGTAAAAAAAAAACAATTTGTGTTACGAAAATTAAATTGTGTGTTCAGTCCGTTGTACCTTAAAGTACTCTCATCATGTTCAAGAATTCTTTACTCAGTTTTCATCCATTTTACAAAGTTTAGTAAAGTTTATTGCATCTCACTTTTAAGAAAAAAATTTAAAAAATTGTATATTGTAGAAAAGGTATAAAGAAAACAATTGTGTTTCGAAATCTAAATTGTGCGTTCAGCCCGTTGTACCTTAATTCCAAACTTACAGCAATTTGATGGAGCAAATGCCAACTCATTACTAGCAATCGACAATCTATCTGTTCATCACTGTCAACTAATAACCGACACTGCTACAAAATATGGGCATAGTGGTTCAATTCCTTCCTCCCTATAGCCCAGACTTCAACCCAATTGAAGAGGCATGCAGCTATAATAAGCACTACCTTAGGCTACATGAAGATGTGATGCAAGTGACCAATGATCCTGTACTTATAATACAATCTGTAATTTAAAGTATGACAAGCAGAATGTGTCAGTGGTGAATTAATAATTCTGGTAATGGTAATGAATTGTATGATAACAAAACATTAAGAATGAACACTTGAAATGCATTCATAATTTTAGTTTTTTAATATTCTTTAATATCTTCCCTTGTAATTCTCCATATTGTCCTTTGCTCTTAATCCAGTAACTCTCAGCATTTCTGAAGCTGGTCCATGCATTCTGACTGTAGCTCAATTCGCTTCTTTGAAGATATTGTAATCATCTGGTTGCTGCTTTTCATTTCCTTTCTCCTAAAAAAGGCTTACTTGGTGGCTCATCATATGATTCATGTTTTCCCCTTTGTAACATAATGAGCCCATGGCCTGATTTGCTCAACAGTGTACTTCTTGTAATGCTTCTCAGTTAAAGTTGTCACAATCTTGTCAACCTCACTCAATATGTGGGAAATACTATCAGCTTTAGAAGCACTAGTTGTATCAGGACAAAGACACTTGGATTTAGGCTCTGACCCACTGTTGTCAATTGTAATCTCACTCTTAAGAAACCATAGCAGAATTTTTTTCGTCCATCACACTGGGCATACATCTGTTGTACATCAGCATTTGATGTTACCCACAGTTGACTTCCTTTGCCACCATGACCAGGTTGAATGTACTTAATCTGTTCATCTACATTGCACTTTTCAGAAAAAGTAGCTAACATAAATTTCTTTAGGTGCCTTATATCTTTAAAGAAGCCCTTATAAAATAATTTGCTGACAGCAAAATCACTTCTTTTCTTAGCGTTCACCACCATTACAAAATAAGTAGGTGGGGTTGATAAAGGACCTGTTGTAGTTGAGACTGCAGGCTGTGTTTGCAGTCCACAATTAGTTCCAGCATTATACTATTATGCAAATGATGTAGTCATCCTATCAAGGTAGCTTGATAGTTTACTACTAACCTGCACGACAGGTGTCTGACAAAAATTACTGTTGATTAAGATGGCGGTAGGCAATTGAGGCTAAAGCCATTAGGTACAGGATTTATCATTCCGTGCACCTCTGTAAACATATGTTTTGTCCTCAAAAATGCTACTCTACCTTGTCATCTAGGTAATGTTGGTATTGCAGGTAATACTGGTATTGCAGCTAATATTGGTATTGCTGGTAATACTGGTATTGCAGGTAATAATGGTATTGCAGGTAATACTAATATTCCAGGTCATAATGGTATTGCAGGTAATATGGTATTGCAGGTGATACTGGTATTGCAGGTAATACTGGTATTGCAGGTAATACTGGTATTGCGAGTAATACTGGTATTGCAGGTAATAATGGTATTGCAGGTAATAATGGTTTTGCAGGTAATGCTGGTATTGCAAGTAATTCTGGTATTGCTCATAATTGGTAATGCAGAAAATATTGGTATTGCAGGTAATACCAGTATTGCTGGTAATACTGGTATTGCAGGTAATAATGGTATTGCTGATAATACTGGTTTTGCTGGTAATAATGGTATTGCAGGTAATACTGGTATTGAAAGTAATAGTGGTATTGCAAGTAATTTGGGTATTGCTGATAATATTGGTAATGCAGGAAATACTGGTATTGCAGGTAATACTAGCATTGCCAGAAATACTGGTATTGCCGGTAATACTAGCATTGCAGGTAATAATGGTATTGCAGGTAATACACATAGTAAAGGTAATAATGGTATTGCAGGTAGTAATGGTATTGCAGGTAATAATGGTTTTGCAAGTAATACTGGTATTGCAGGTAATATTGGTAATGTGGCAATACTGGTATTGCAGGTACTATTGGTATTGCATGTAATACCGGGTATAGTAGGGAATACTGGTATTGCAGGTGATACTGGTATTGCAGATAATAATAATGTTGCAGGTATTAATGGTACTGCGGTAATATAGGTAATGCAGGTAATACTGGTATTGCAGGTATTATTGGTATTGCAGGTAATAATGATATTGCAGGTATTATGTGACCATAATTGACAAAAGGTACCGTAAGGTGTGTAGTGAAATTTGTCTTAATAGCCAATACAATCCAACTGCCTGAGCTGAATTTATCATGAAACTTCTCCACAGGACGGAAAGTCACTTTGAAACTTTTAGGAACAATGTTTGTCCAACAGAACACACACACTTTGATATTTTTTATTGTAATGAAGAAATTTGATATCCGCCATAAGGTACCTTTTGTCACAAATTGGTAATAATGCTGGTATTGCAAGTAATACTGGTATTGCAGATAATACTGGTATGGCAGGTAATAATGGTATTGCAAGTAATACTGGTATTGCTGGTAATGCTGGTATTGCCAGTAACAATGGTTTTGCAGGTATTAATGGTATTGCAGGTAATTGGTAAAATGTAATATTGTTTTTGCAAGTAATATTGGTAATATTAGTATTGCAGGTAATAGTGGTTATGCAAGTAATATTGGTAATGCAGGTAAAAATGGTATTGCAGGTAATAATGGTTAAGCAATACTGGGTATTGTATGTAACACTAGTATTGCTGTTAAGACTGGTATTGCAGGTAGTACTGGTAATGTATAGGTAATATTGGTAATGCAGGTAGTGCAGATCATTGATACATAGGTGTAGCCAGGGTCGGGCATATAGGGGCAATGCCCGACCTGACTCTGTGAGCTGACCTGTCGGCAAAGGCAGTGAGGGCAGAAGCTTGGGCAAGGTGGTTGGGCAAGACTGAGTGTGCCACTGTGAGTGAGACTGTCAGACTATAATTATTACAGGTGTAATTGGACACTGGAACTATAATGTCAGTCTGTGACATCACTCAGCCTGAGGAGTGAGGAAGAAGCAGAGAGAGCCTGAGCTCTAGCAGCAGCCATTTTATTCAAGTTATGAATTATGATATCAAGTTAATTATTAGTGACTCCCAAGTTAATTTTTGAAATGGCAAGCAAACGTCAATCTTCCATGCTGTTTGCACCTCTATCTCTCATATATGTGACCATAATTGACAAAAGGTACCTTATGGTGGATAGTGAAATTTGTCTTTCTAGCCTAAGAAATCCACCTTCCTGAGCCCCATTTATTATAAAATTACTCCACAGGATGCAAAAAGTTACCATGAAACTTTTAGAAACAATGATTGTCTAACATAGCACTCACAGGTTGATATTTGCCATTATTAAGATCAATTTTAAAATCCGCCATAAGGGCCCTTTTGTCAATTATGGTCACATATAGAAAGAAATATGTCTTCTAAGCTCTGGGACTGCATAAACGAGGTAGTCATCAAGTTTGCTGTCTCTCACAAAAACTCCAGGTATCATACTCAGAGTCGAGTTTCCTCCTCATTTCTTGTTAACTGGCTTTATCCCGATTGTGTGTGCATGCATGATGCATGTTAAATAGTGCAAAATCTCCATATTTCGGGCGGCAAAAAGGGTGTGGCCACGATTTTGGCGCGCTTTGCACACCCACCATTTTCCTCTTACCTGACCTTCTTTCTTAGTCTGCCTATGCCAATGAATTGATAATGTTTCATTATAAGTTAAAGCAGAGTAGAGAAGTAGAGAGAGAGCGAGAGCTCACAAAAACAAATACACGAGATAAGAACATAATATTACTTCAGAGAGAAAGAGATGCATGAATCAAAATGACGTTAATTTATACTGTTGGCATAGGATGTGGATAACTATAAAAAACACTTATAATAACTAAATGCATACCATACACAAATAATAATGTTGCAATAGTAAAAGGTCTACATAATCATTTAATTTTACTACACTACCAATGATAGATCAACTTTATGGTGATAATAGTTAATGGTGGTACTCTCACCTTAACGCAGTCTGTAAGAGGTATGAAGGTTTGATGTGCATATTTATTGGCAACATTGAATAAATTAACTTTAACAATGATAATTATTAAAATAAAAAAATTAATAATAAATACATTGTAATTTTTATTCAATGGATTCAATTCTTACAAAAACCAGCCGTCTCTCTGTCTCTTGACCAGCTTCTCCTGGCGGTAGTTTCTATAAAAATATAGCAATTATGTATTTTGAAACAATATTGCAGTATTGCCGTTGTTCTTTTGTTTTGTTTTCCCTTATTTTCTTTCTTTTCATCCCTTAATATAAAAATTGTTATATTTTGTTTCATTAGTTATTTTTTTCACACAAGTTTACAAATTTTTTTAGTAATAACACCATTTTCTTTCACTTTAACGTATTCACTTTCAACATATGTTTATTTTTTGTATAACATTAAGTTCATCAACAAAAACTGGAATGATAATTAATAACAATGACAATAATTTTTAAAATTGAGAATAGAACTCCAATTTCTTTTACTTCCTCATTTTCCATTTCTTCATGAACTTGACTGACTATATCTACTGTAAAAATGATAAGGAAATAGTCACATTAACTCTATATATATACAATAATAATAGCAATATCTTTCCCTTCCTCATTTTCCTTTTGTTTGTCAACATCATAGACAATAACTGCAATGACAAAAAAGAGATAGTGATATAATAATACCTTTAACACCTTCCTTAGTTCCTTGCTCTTCATTATGACCTTCATCATCATAAACAGTAACTGCATGGAATAATAATGGTAACCACATTACGATATTTAGAATTACATACCATGTTCTTCTGTTCCACATTTCACCACTTTCCTAACTATGTTTACAGAAAAAAAATTAACATTCATGTATGACTTAAAAAGTAATTTTATAAAGAAAGTATTGTGACTACACACAAGCACAAAATTTTCATGTGATTAATGTTGAATGAGGTGCCTAATTTTATACATCAACAATGTTTTGTGAAAAGTAAATCCATAATAATCTATTTATTATGGAGACAAAAAATTACAAAAAAATTAATAAATTTGAAAAAAAATTTTGGGAAAATTCGTTAGATTTATAGCTCTCGAAAGTCTTACGTTACAAATACTTACTTTCTTTAAAATCTGCAATTATATTCTCCAAGAGTGCCCTAAGAGAAAGTACCAAACATTTATCTTGCTTAATCTACACATGTAACAGAACATTGCTTTAAATGGTCATTATAGGAGACAAACTGATACCTTCTTCCCTGATGCATCTCTTTGAAAGTATCTAGGTAAATTTACTACACCATATGAGGTATCTTTTTTTATAGCATCTTTAAGCTTTTGCTTTGCTGCAGTCTTCATGCCAGGTACCTTCTCAAGCTTGATGGCCACAGCATCTTCACTTTTATATGTGGTAGCTAGTTGAACATAAGTCAGAACCTGATAAATCAAAATGTATAAATGTAGCTTATTAAAATTCAAATCGTTGCACACAAATTCCTTTCAAATGAAAATACACTACACCAAACACATTAAGCCAAACTAAGGCCGTAATAAGTAGAACAACAAATTTACAGTCATTAAATACAAAGTATTACAATAATTATTATTACAAATACACGTTTTATTACAAGTAATACAGGCTACTGTTTCTCTATTACAATTACTGTTACAAATAAAATTCAATGTAACTACCATTACTATTACAATACATGTACAGCAGAGTCCCATCAAGTCAATATGTCTCATGTCAAACTTCGTAAACATTAAAATTGATACATTTTCTAGTACATATACATGTACTCATATGTTAAATCATTTAATGTTTAAGCTGATTCTAATCAAAATCCAGTACTATATTTACATGGCCTCATGCTAAACTTTTTCATACATAAAAACAAGAAATCTCAAATTTAATAATTTTTACTGATAAGCACATTTTATAAGTTTTGAACTGATTCTGATCAAAATTAGATATTTTATGAATCATTATTAGTTAAGTTACTAAAAAGCAGGCTATGGTCTCTATATTATAGTTTTCAGTCACACTTTATCAAACTTTAATTATATTAAGCTTGTTATTAGTGAACTACAACTGTTTAGGAGCAAAGGTGCATCACATACCTCTTCAATGGATAAATGTTTAATGCACTTAACTAAATGAATTGCAGCATCATCAAAGCTCATTGACAAGGTGGAGGCAGATGAAGATGGCTTAATGACGGCTAAGTTGCACACATTTGACTGTAGCTGATGTACACTGATTAGCACTTCAGTACACATGTATTACATCAACTTTTCTGTATAGTGGCTTAAGCCAGCATTTTCTAATATCCGTTATTGCATAAAAGGGATTAAAAATGATATTTTTAAGGAAAATAATAATGTGTAGTAATAATAATGAGGATCAAACATATATTTTCAGTGATGAATTCCTAATAGTGACAAAAACAATTGCAGTAAGGCTCTCATTCATATAAAACCATTAAAACTTTGTCATAATAAGTATAAAGAATTTTGATTGTCAAAATTTCATTAATAAGTGGTGACAGCAAAAGCTGTGAAAATTGATCCCCCACAAAATAAGTATAATACAAATGATAATAATGACAACAATGAACAAACTGTAATTGTACACACTAATAATATTTTAAGATGTGTATACATACGTGTCACCTGACATTAACAGAAAAGCATAGCATCATTGCATAAGACGGAGGAACCCTTGGTATCAAATTAACATCAGCTTTTTCCTATAACAGTGCTAGCAATAATCCATCAATATCTTTGATTCCAGAGTCAAAAAACTCATTTCAAGATTGACTGCTATGCCAATACTTCTAGTTGCTTCTTTTTGACTTTCAACAGTTTCAAGGTTATCAGATGCTAACATTGATAATGGAGGAGACTTGAACTCAATAATCAAATGCTTGGATGCAAACCTGCATAGAAAAGAAGAGAATTGTCAAATTTTAAAAATATAGCTAAGCAGTAACCTTTTCTGGTCAACGGGTAAAAAATTTGCTGAAATGAGGGCAGTTGTTGTTGGTGTTTTATTGCCTATTGATATTGTAGCTTATTTGATACCATTATAAAGTTCAACAAAAAGTTTACTGATGTCTGCACTAGAGTGTAGATCATCAACAGCCACTAGTACACCACTGTCAAAACAAATGGAAAAAATTTTCTCATGTGTAGCTTTGAGCACCCATCAAGCTTAATGCACTATGTAAAGCGGTGGTTTTCCCAGTACCACTAGCACCCACTGCCAATGGTATTAGGCAGTAATGGAATTTATCAATGAAGGATGTGTACTGCAGGGCAAGCACTGTTGATCCAATGAGCAAAACAGATGGGAAGAAGTTATGTTTGACATAGGCCGCTAGAACCTCTAACGTAAGCTTCAATGGAGTTGACAATAATGGTAGTTTGGTAATAAGCTTCAATGGAGTTGACAATAATGGTAGTTTGATAGAGCATTCATGTACAGCATCAGCAACTCCAGCACCAGAATACACAAGTGAACATTTTCAGCTAACACCCATAATCATCTTCTTGCTTCCCAATATTCTTAATGCAACATTTCCGTAGCATTTCAGATTGCCTCTTTTTGTTTTGAAGGTATTCACTGAGCTGTTTGTCCTTAAAGGTACATGACAGACAGCCTATACAGTACACAGCCATAAATTTTACTTTGAATCATGACTGATGTCAATCAGGATCAGCCTTGACACATTCCTGTATCATGGATTTTGGGCAGCCTGCAAAGCAATGAGTCCAGCATGATAAACCTTCCATAATACAATCATGCTGGAGTACAGCCCTGGTTCAGCCCAAGCAACAGACATGATTCAACATTGATGCGAGTCAGGGCTGTATCAAAATAGACATCAGGCCTGAATCATTGATTTTGGGTAGTGGCCTGTATCAGAGATGATAATTCTTGGCTGTGTGTGATGCATTATGACCTTCATAAATTGGCTCTTCTTGTTTGTGGAATCATTGGTGAAAAAACATTGCCTGTACAAATGAACAATAAGGTTACTAATATGATATGTACATTACAAGTATATGGCAAATGTTTCATTTAATGTTATCGACATTTTAGGAATAGGTATTACACAGGGATGGGAATCATATATATTAGTATTAGTAATCGCATAAAAAGAACTTTAAGTATTACAGGTACATAATTAGAGCCTGAATTTACTTTCAAACAATATTTGTACATGTTGTCAGAACAATGCTTTAATTTTTAACTTTCCTCTTAGAAAAGGTTGGCTATGTTAGTGGTACCAATGGAGTCCTCTGGTCTGGTTTACAGATTGTTTGCACAGTCAAGTACTGCACTTTACATAAATAAAACTAATTGTACACTTCTCCAGAGAAATGTTTTTGTGGGCCTGGCACCCCCTAGATCTGCCCCTCAACAAACTCTTATGCTGCGTTTACACTACTTCGTTTTCAAACAAAAGCGCATATATAAGTATTCTGATACGCCTCCAGTTTACGTTACATTCCTGAAAACGAATCTCCGAATCGGGGCTAACAGAAAACGATTGCCTATACTGAGCATTTTTAAGATGCTCCTTTTTTGTGTGTAGACCATAAAAACGATTACATTGAGGGGCGTGTCCATTATTGTTACATGATTGTATCGCAGCAACATGTACTAGAAACTACATTGAGCTGAGGACTACATGGATGAGATGGCTCTGAAGCAGGTTTCATCACGTATCGTCCTTATTTTGATTCAAATTACTGGATTAATTCAATTATATAACTTTGTAAACACTTTAAATCATGAAAGATGGGTTAGAGTGTCGGTCATTAAAAATATTCAAAGCGGCCATGAATCGACAACTATGAAAAAGGCACTCATGCTGAATAAGCTGAAGCAAAAACTACAATGTTCAAAAAGGCAGTCTTGGTGTAGACCCAGAAGAACAGATGCCTGGTGGAACAACTTAAAAGCACTAGCTATTTTTCAAGAATGGGAGAACTTTCGCATGTCAAGAGAAAGCTTTGATATACTAGCATCCATGCTGAGGCC